TTAGATCTGATAAAAATTTGGCAACTCTAAATTCTTCAAAATGCTTCTTCTATAATTCTACATAACTAGATATAAGTTGATCTTCAGCTCTTCCCACATGCCTCTAAAGCACTAAAATAATCACTCACACATTTATTTCCTTGCTGCAATCAAAACAATTTCTCAAATATATTATATACCCGTGAGATGTTCTTACTTCATGGAAATGTTTCTTTCAAAGTGTCCCAAAATCCTTTACCAATGTCAAGAAACATCACATTTGCACTTATTTGAACCTCCATACTACTCCACAACCAAGTCATGAGTATGTAATTCTCTGTTGTTCACTCTTCATATCTAGTATAAGGTTCACTAGGCTAGTTCGCAGTCAATTATTTCAATTTCCCCCTAGAATCAAGGGATACATTGACAGACTGCCCATACAACATATTTGAACTCACTTAATTTTTATTAAAGTAATTTGTATCCCCACATGTTCAGGAAGATCGCAACTTCCAGATTTATTTTTGTTAGCCATGAGCGTATGAAATTAAAGGAGGACCAACTAGGGTCAACCGAAAACAATCACTCGCACAAAGCCTAGCAGAATGCCAGAGATAATTTTTTATATTAGAAAAAAAAGAGAGTAATACTTATCATTTAATTACGAGCATAGGCACTTTCTCAACTTGAACAAACTAAGGCAATACCACATTATCCAAATTTGAGCATCACCACGCCGCCACTCTTTGAGCAGACTAGGGCAGCACCTATCCGCATAAAAAACTTAGGGTTGTTAAGAGACAACTTGGGAAATCATCTATGATTGCCCACAAACCTCGAAAGTAGGCAACATGTCCTCTATTGTTCTCAATCTTTAAAGAGGAATCACACGAACAGCAGCATCACCACTTCAAAAGCAAACCCACATGGGTTTCTACACACAAAAAAACAAAAAAGAAAACTAGGAAAAAACCCTAGGGTTCAAATCCAACAACCCAATAAAGTAACTTTTTTTTAGTTAGGGCAGAAAAGTAATAATATTAAAAGGGAAGAAACATTTAAGATAGAAAAGAAAATCCAGAGGGAGGAAAACGATCAAAGTTCTAATACCATGTTAGAGAAGGGGGAGGGGGAGGGGGAGGGGGAGGGGGAGGGGGAGGGGGAGGAAGGGAGAGAGAGAGAGAGAGAGAGAGAGAGAAAGAGAAGGAGGATGTGAGAGTTACAATCACTCTCATGCACCTCTACAAATCAGTTCTAGGATCAGGAGCAG